ATTATTTTTTCAAATATTTTCCTATTTTCTCTCCTTTCTTTTGCTCATCACCAATTATATCTATGTTAGACCACCTGATATTGTCCCACCAGTCTCTCAGACTCTGCTTTTTTTTTTTTTTAAGATTTTATTTATTTATTTATTTATTTATTTGACAGAGGTCACAAGTGGGCAGAGAGAGAGGAGGAAGCAGGGTCCCCGCTGAGCAGGGAGCCCGATGTGGGGCTCAATCCCAGGACCCTGGGATCATGACCTGAGCTGAAGGCAGCGGCCTTAACCCCCTGAGCCACCCAAGTGCTCTGCTTTTTTTAATCTTTCATTTATTTTCTCTATTCTTCAGATTGAACCATTTCTATTGATCTGTCCTGAAGTTCACCAGTGCTTCCTTCTGCCACTTCCAGTTTATTAAAATACTGCAGTGAATTTTTTTTTTAACTTTTAGAAAATCATTTTTTTAATAGTTTTTCTCCAGTAAGACATGTTATCTTTTCATCCAGTATGAACACATATATCTTTATATCCCTTAACAGGACTATAAAAGCTCTTTAAAACCCTTTTTCTAACTTCAACATCTGCATCACCAATATTTCCATTGATTACTTTTTCTCTTCACTAAGGATATTTTGTTTCTTAATTATATTTTGTTTCTGATTTAGTAAATTGGTTTGTATCCTGGACATGATGAATGATATACCAAAAAGATTCTGGAATTGTTCATATTCCTTTTAAGCCAACTGCTTTTTGCTTTGTTTTAGCAGGCCATAAATTTGGCCAAACTTAAATTCTGCCTCTCTGTGATGATCAACAGCTGAAATATAGTTAGTTCTTTTAGCCTTACTAGGCTACTTTGACCCTGCTGCAACCATGCATAGTTCAAATATCAACCAGAGATTTGGGCAGAATTTATGTGCAGAATTTGTTGTTCCTCCTCCGTAGCTCTCTCTATCCTAAAATTTCTCCCTTCATTTTTCAGCTGCTTACACAGCTCTAAACACTGTCCTCTAGTTCTTTAAGCCAGTATATACTTCTGGTTTTTGTCCAAATCCAAAATTCCAAACATTGGATGAGGCCAAAATCTAGGCAAATAAAAAAGGTGTCATTCCCTCTTCCAGATGGTGAATCCTGTCCAGTTTCTGCCTACTTTTACTTTATATTTTTTTAAAAGATTTTATTTATTTATTTGACAGAGATGACAAGTAGGCAAGAGACAGGCAGAGAGAGAGGGGGAAGCAGGCTCCCTGCCAAGCAGAGAGCCTGATGTAGGGCTCAATCCCAGGACCCTGAGATCACGACCTGAGCCGAAGGCAGAGGCTTTAACCCACTGAGCCGCCCAGGCGCAACTCTGCCTACTTTTAGATATTGATTTAGTACCTTCAGACAGTGGTTTTTTAAAACTTTGTCCAGAATTTATAATACTTATCTTCAAGATTGTTCCAATATAAGCTACTCATACATATCATCTTAATTTATTTGCATGCCTGAGTTTCTCACTAGATTTCAAAAACCTTACAGAGATTTTTTATGCCTAGATCCCCAGTGCCTCCTTCATTTCCTCTGAATTTTCAAAATGTTCCTCATATTTACCTGTTTTCTTTTTTCCTAAGGGCATTATCTGTTGTATTTTTTGCTCTTATCATCTTTGCAGTTTAGTCTTCATTTTGGAAATGATTTTTTCTTTTCTTTCTAATTCTGCCCAGTCTATTATCACCTTACTTCCAAATCCATATACTTCAGATTTATGTTGTTCATGAAAGAACAACTTTCTTAATGTATCTTTTTGAAAAAGTAGGCTTCAGTTTTGATCTGTATTAAGGGCATGCATTTCTGACATGCTTTCACTATCTATAGATAAATTACTCTTCTCCTTATTCTCTCTTTTTCTTAACACAGTGAAGATGTTTGGTTCTGATCCTCTTCTGTTGCATATTTTAGGTGAAATTCATTTTCCTAATTTGTATAACATTCTGGACTGCTCTTCTGCTTCAGATGTCCTTCTACTATTCTCATATACTGTTAAGAAATATAGTACCTTAGTACAGCCACAAAAGTTCCTCAAAAAATTAAAAATAAAAATACCATATGATCCAATAATTTTATTATTAGGGATTTACCCCCCAAAAATGAAAACATTAATTTAATCTATGTACCACTATGTTTCTTGCAATATTATTTACAGCACCCAAAATAATGGAAGCAACCCAAGAGTCCATCAGTAGATGAATGGATAAGGAAGATGTGGTACACACACAGGACTATTACACAGCCATAGAAAAGGAGAGGATCTTGCCATCTGCAACAACATGGATGGGCCTAGAGGGTACAATGCTAAGTGAAATAAGTCAGACTGAGAAAGACATACCACACGACTTCACTCATATGTGGAATATTAAAAAAAAAAAAAAAAGAACAACAAAAATGCAGAATCAGACCTGTAAACACAGAGAACTGATGGTTGCCAGAAGGCAGTGGATGGGGAGGATGGGCAAATGGTCAAAGGGAGTGGGAGATGCAGGTTCCAGTTATGGAATGGAGTTAGTCACAGGAATAAAGGCATAGCATAAGGAATATAGTCAATGATACTGTAATAGTGTTGTATGGTGACAGATGGCAGCTACAATAGTGGTGAGAATAGCATCATACTTAAACTTGTTCAGTTGCCATGAAGTACACTTCAAACAAGTGTAACATGGTCAATGACACTCAAATTTTTTAAAAATATATATATATATTTATATATTTTTTTATATATTTAGATAGATAGATAGATAGATATTTATTTACATATATATCTGTTTTTGAAATATCCTGGCTCTCTTCTTTTAAGCCTTACATCTGGACCTTCTTTTTCTATGGTCCCTATCCTGCTCCATTTTTCTCTCATGTCTGGTCCTATCTGGAAGGGAACTCTGGCCTGTCCATTTCAAGAATTCACAGAGGCTACCATGCTCCAGCCTGATTCAAGCCTTACCATGAAACACTCTCTGCTATTAGATATAGCAAAGTATTATCCAGTTTCAGCTGCTGTTTTTAAAATGGCTTGCTATACTATCTAGTGAATTATCTTACAGTTACTTTGTAATTTTTTATTCCCAGATCCATCAGAAATTGGCTCCCTTATTTCCTTCTATTTTCTCCTGACACAGACACTGGTAACATGAAGACCTTGTAGCTGCTGGTAATTACTCTCCACACAAAAGTTCTTAGAAAATATATTACCCAATTTTGTTGTAGATATTATCAGTGGATTTTTAGTTTTGCTATCTAATTTCTCTGTCTTTATGTGGAGCCTCAGGGAAAGCCAAAAACTATGCTGCCACTACAATATTTTCCCTTCATTTAACAACCGAACAAGCCATTTTGAACACAGACTACCGAACAGGTAGTTCAGGAGGGCAAATCAAACAGGTAGCTTTTTTATCACACTGGATAAATAAAGGGTTAAGCAAATGTTTTTATAAGTTAGAACAAAAGTTAAAATAAATCTATACTTAGTGTATACTTCTAATCATGAAGCTGAATTTCTGCCTGTTTACTAAGAAAAGCAAAGAGCTTCGCTATAACATTAAAAGGTTTTAACTTCCCCAAGATTGCTGACTTGCAAGCTTAACACCTTGAGCTGTTATTACAAGCTACATTTGACTGTGGTATAAAAATCTTCACTTTCAGTTGTGACTCTGGCATAGGAGACTGATTTTACCCATACATTTTGTGATAAGTCATATTCTCTTACAGACTTTATTCTGGAATTTCATTATAAGGTTAAGTTAATTTGCTGGTTCGTCACCAAGACCCTTTAAGTCTAAAATTTTGCGGCACAAAAAGATTCATATTTTTAAAACAATGGGAACTTAAGTCTTCTCCATCATTTCCACGGGATGATGCCTATCTTTTCAATCTTTTCTTTCTTCTAAGAGTTAATATTTATTGAACAATTACTTAAAACAATTACTTAAAAATGAAATACTTAGAACAGGGGCAGGCACTGTTCTAAGTATTTCATTTTTAAGTCATTAAAACTTGACAAAACTCTCTAAGTTAGTTATCCTCACTTTAGATATCATTTATAAACCAGCACAGAGAAGCTAATGTATTTAACCATTATGCTGTAGTATCTCACAAAATCTGTTTATATCTGTTTATATATATGACAGTTTCCATGGCAAGGAAGTTAAGATTCAGGATTCAAAACCTGGGGTTCAAATCCTGACTCGACCTGTTACCACCTGCCCCTTAGGCAAGTTACTTCTTGTGCTTCAGTCTGTTGTGAAAAATCAAATAAACTACAATATGAAAAGCATTCAGAACAGAGCCCAGCACAGAGCTAGTATATACCCATATCTTACCATTTTTTAAACTGGCTATGTGACAGGGTCTAAATTACCATTCTGCAACTTGATTTTTTCACTAAACAGATGATGACCCATGTTGCAGAATACACCTAGTTTATTTTATCTACAATGTATTATTCCATCACATAAATGTCAGTCTCTATTTATCCATTCTCCTATTGACAGTCATTTAATCTGTTTCCAGTTTTTGTCTCTGCTGCCAGATGCACATGCCTTATGCAGGTCTCCACACGCACACACGTAAGAGTTTCTCTATAGTATGTATGTAGAAGTGGAAATGCTGGACCACTGGGGGTGCTTATCTTCAACTTTGATACTGTCAAAACTCCAAAGGGGTTTTTTCTCACAATATTGGAGGACATATTCTGTTTTTCCAAATTCCCACTGACAACTTGCATTGCCAGACCTTAAAAATAAATTAACTTTTATTCTAATAATATCATAACATTAAATGGTAAAGATATCCTATGTATAATGAGGTACTTATAAAGGACCATATTCTTAACTCTTTTAGTAAAGAAAATGCAAAACAAAATGTTGAAGTACCGCATAGACCTGGAGGAACCAAGGAGTAGACACAAAATTTCTACACATCAAAGAAACCTAAGAAATAAAAAAATAAACATGGTTGATGAAAAATAAAATACTCACCTCAAACTCTCTGAGCAGTTTAGAAATAAGCAAACCCTCTGGAAACTTGGATACTACCTAATAGAAAATACAATACAATATAAATAGACATTATTAGGATTCTGGCTAGCAAAATATCAAAATAAAAACACTATAAACTTAAATAGTAACAAAGATAAAAAATAAGATTAGTGAGTGAATGAATGAAAAGTCACAATATTTTTAAAATCAGTTTTTAAAAAAGGATAACAAAAAAAAGGCTTCCAATATTTCCAGAGTTGAGAAATCATTCTTGCACAGTACTGCAATGCCACAGCTCTCCAGAAATTCCTACAATTCTTTAGAAAACATAGTTAGCTTTAGCTCACATAAATATTCTACAGCATAATTTCAAGCATTTTATTTTAAATGTTTTATCTTTAAGTAATCATAACACCTAGTGTGGGGCTCGAACTCACAACCCCGAGATCGAGAGTCACAAACTCTACCGAATGAGTCAGCCAGGCACCTCTCAAACATTTTAAATGGTAGAAAAGAAAATGAATACTATAGAAAACTTTGAAAAATTCAGTTAAGCAAAGAAAAAGTTATCATAGTTATTGTTGCCCATATGCACATAAAAATACCTGTATTTAATATAAAAATAAAGTCACCATTTCTATAACAAGTTTTTTTATTACCATATCATAAGCAACTCTACATGTCAGTAAATATGGATCAACATGTTTACTAGCTATAGAGTTTTCAGATATACCTACATTTACTTACTTGATCCTCTATTTATGGCTGTGTCCTGTATTTTATTGTCACAAATATAATTATTTTCATATTTGCATACTATCTTTTAGGAAAAATTCCTAAATTACTCTACCTCAAAGTTTGAAAGGTTTGTGTCGTCCAGATTTTTCCAAATATTACATGTTTCATTAAAAAGTCTAAATCAAGCTTCAGAAAAATATAAAAATGGTTCCAAAATCCTACGACCAGAGATAATTGTTGCTGCTTTTAATAAATCATCCTTTAAGAACCTCTTCATGTAGACACACACATTATACATGATTTTACATGAAAGGACAATACTAAACATCCTATTCTATAAAATCTGTTTTAATATGTCAAGAAGATACTGCCATGTAAATTAACTGAGATATATATAAACTTTTTTTTTCTTTTTTTTTGTTTTAAAGATTTTATTCATTTATTTGACAGAGATCACAAGTAGGCAGAGAGGCAGGCAGAGAGAGAGAGGGAGAAGCAGGCTCCCCGCTGAGCAGAGAGCCCGATGCGGGGCTCAATCCCAGGACCCTGGGATCATGACCTGAGCCGAAGGCAGAGGCTTTAACCCACTGAGCCACCCAGATGCCCCATAATCATTGGGTACATGGCCAAATGTCCAAACAAAACAATAGGGTTCGAATGAAAAAATAGGGTTTTGCATTTCACCCAATAAAACCACGACATCTGAAATGGAATAATATAAAGGAGTAAGAGTCGTAATGGCACTCTGATCATTCAGATAAGAATAGCTCCCACCAAATTTTAAGTGTACATACCCTTTAGCCTGATACATTAACAGCCAAAGAGCTTTCACAAATTAAAAAGGAAAAACAACAAATTAGGCCCAAGCCATGAACAGATAATTCACATAAGAAATATGGATGGAGGGGTGCCTGGGTGGCTCAGTTGGTTAAGCGACTGCCTTCTGTCATGATCCTGGAGTCCCAGGACTGAGTCCTGCATGGGACTCCCTGCTCAGCGGGAAGTCTGCTTCTCCCTCTCACCCTCTCCCTTCTTGTGCACTCTCTCTCACTCTCTCTCTAAGTAAATAAATAAAATCTTAAAAAATAAATAAATACAAATGGCTACTAAGCATATGAAAAGATGCTCAATATAAAAATCAAGAGGTATAAATTAAACATTATTGGATAGTAACACTTCACCATCAATGGGAATACAAATCTGTTCAGATCTTTTAGAGGGCGATTAAGTATTAATGACCAAAACTAAATTATTCAATGCCTTTGACAAGTCTGCTTCCAGACACATGTTCAAGGACATTAACTGTAACATTTTTTTAATAGCCAAAGCTAGAAACAACTGCAACATAATCAATCCCAGATCTCATAAATGAAAGTGCACTGGCAGAGTGGAATGCCATATAATGTTTAGAATAATATTTGACATCCATATATATGAAACTGATACTGGAAATACCTTGAACTGTTTGCTAACAATGATTTATGGGGGTAAGAGGAAGAAAAAAAGGAAGACAGCATGGAAGAATTCCATTTGCTAAATAATTTCGAGAACATTAAAATTAGGAGTAATTTTTTTCTGATCTTAAAGGAATAGCCACTCTATTTGCAATACATTTAAAAAGATAAGATATTAAGTATAAAATAAATACTCACAGGCAAAGAAAATTTAACCACAAATGAGATCTAAATGTGTAACTGATTATTCCTATTCATTTCCCAGAAACAGAAAATACTTACAAATCGTATCTTATGTTTTAGTTCTGGATTGATAGTCCCTCCAGGTCCAATCTGTGCAATAACTGATTTGAATGTGTTCTCCAGCTATGAAAAAAAAAAAGTTCAAGTTATAAGCCAAAAAGAAAAAGATCAAAGATAAATCTGAACGATATGTAAAAGGAAACACCTACCACAGGAAATGTCTTTCAATCAAATGGGTAAATGCTTAAGAGGCATTGTTACATTTCATACCATATAAAATATATTTAGAGTAGATGAAATCTATTAAACTAAACACTCTGCAAGTTTTCAGGGTAATTAACATTCTCTGAAACAATCAGATTCTAGAGTATTCCATTTTCCAAACTCCTACTCAATCTCCTACTCTTACCCAGAAAGGATTTTTGAATTTTTTCTGTTTATAAAAGTTCGGTGTTTGTTAAAAACATGCCTACTGAAAGCCAAACGCAAGGAAGGGACTGAATGGCAGAGGGTCCTGGGAGGCAGGAAAGAATGTGAGCCAGGGCAGGGAGGAAAAGCTCTCTGTTCTAACAGGAAAGAAGAGAAAGAACCAGGCAGGATACAGAACGTGGGTCAGAAGGTGGAGTGACTATCTGATGGCTTCGGTATTCTGAGTTCTGCAGCAAGGCCCAGTCCTCAGAGCTGGAGGGAAAGGGGAGACAGTTCAGGCAGTTGAGAAAGCAGAAAAATAAGGTGAGGAAGTGATGGGGGACTATCCAAATGCGATAGGCAGGGAGTAAAGACAGGAGAGGCATGAGCTAAGACAACAGGGGTCTAAGGATGTTTGTTGAGACAAACCAAAGGTATAGAGGTCCTAATAAGGTAGAAGATGATATACAGGACTATCTGGAAAAATAAGCCAGAAGCACAGGCAGTCACAGTCAGGGAAGCATGGCGCCTATGAAGACAGCCCCACCCGGTAAACAGCCATGGCAGGGGAGACCTAAGTGAATCAAAGACCATGGATTCGCATTTCTCCCAGTAAAACCACAACATCTGAGATGGGATGATTTAAAGCAGTAAGAGTCATAATGTATGTTTAAAGATAGTAATGTTTAAACATGTATATTTAAAGCATGTATGTTTAAATATACATGTTTAAAGTAAGCGGGAAAAATAGATGCTAGAAAAAACACAAAGGTATAACAAAAAACACACACTACCCTAAAATCCTACCATATAGAATCATTATTAATATTTTTTCCTTCTAAACTTTCTATTTTTTTCATCTTTCTTCTTGTTGTCACTTGGCCTGTCATTACTTACAAACTGTATAACCTCTCAGGTCTCAGTTTCTTCATCTGGAAAATGAAGACAGTTTCAGTATCTTGTAAGATTAACAGGAAAAGGGGATGGGAGGGAGACTAGATTCTTGGGATTATATCACTAGCTTTCACAAAAAGCATCAGCCCTGGGCTTGTGTTCTTCATGCTTCTTCTGTATCTGCCATCAGAGAACTCGCCAAAGCTCTCCCAGTGAACAGCTCAGAAAATCTAAAGGGAACGGATTCTTCACATCCCGACATGCTCCCCCCATGAGAAGAGTCAGTATAACAACTTCTTGTATTATTACTGTGCTAGGTGTTGCAAGGGACCAAAAAAAAAAAAGGACACATCAGTGTCATTCCTCTCAAGCCACTTAAAATTAAGTAGGGAAAGGAGATAAAAGCATAAACTGCTATAACCTAAGGCCGCCTCAGAGCATCACTGAAGAGGGACAGAAATGCAGAGGGATCTATTATCACATTAGGTTATAAATACAAGGAAAGCCTCCTTTCTGAAGGGCCTTGAAGGGTGGTAGAGATGGCAAGGAAGCCATAAGGAACTTCATGAGCACAGGAGAAAAGGGGAAAAAAATAACTAGCCTGAAGGCACTAAGGAAGTAGTGGGAGATAATAATGAAGAACAGAGAAGGAAGGACCACAGAATACCTCCAAACAAAGGAGCTTTACTTGGTTATATAAAAAAATAAAAATAAAAAAAAACCACCTTGAGATTTTCAGCAAGGGATAGACATAATCAGAATTTTAATCTGTCAGCAGAAAATGATATAAGAGGGGTGGACAACCAACAGGGAACCCACTGATACTCTCTGGAAGGGAGTCTTCACCGGGTCGCTAAGACGAGGGGACATTATAAAGGTGGAACATGGAATCTGTAGAAATTAGGAAAGATTCCAGTGCAGGCAAGGGAACTGCTGACTCGATAGGGATGAATAATAAGAGGCCCAGGGACACGTGCACCCGAATGTTTATAGCAGCAATGTCTACAATAGCCAAACTATGGAAAGAACCTAGATGTCCATCAACAGACGAATGGATAAAGAAGATGTGGTATATATACACAATGGAATACTATGCAGCCATCAAAAGAAATGAAATCTTGCCATTTGCGATGACGTGGATGGAACTAGAGGGTATCATGCTTAGCGAAATAAGTCAATCAGAGAAAGACAACTATCATATGATCTCCCTGATATGAGGGAGAGGAGATGCAACATAGGGGGTTAAGGGGGTAGGAGAAGAGTAAATGAAGCAAGATGGGATTGGGAGGGAGACAAACCTTAAGTGACTCTTAATCTCACAAAACAAACTGAGGGTTGATGGGGGGAGGGGGGTTGGGGGGGTGGGGTTATGGACATTGGGGAGGGTATGTGCTATGGTGAGTGCTGTGAAATGTGTAAACCTGGTGATTCACAGACCTGTACCCCTGGGGATAAAAATATATGTTTATAAAAAAATAAAATTAAAAAAAATTTTTTTCAAAAAAAAAAAAAAAATAAGAGGCCCAGGGAAAGAACCTCTAAGACTGCAAATTTTAGGAGGAAATCTAAAGGACCCTGGAACACAGATGTAGGTTTTTGCTGGTTTTTAACAAATTCCAAAAGTTCAGGAAACTGAGAGGTAATGACAGGATGAGAATTACAAATGTGATTTTTCTCTCTGGAGCATGGCTTGGGACAGGGTCAGGAAAGGACAGCCCAGGGGCCAAACCTGGCCTTTGCCATCTGTATTTGTACTGCCCATAAGCTTGGAATAGTCTCAATATTTTTAAGTAGTAGGGGGGAAAAACATAAAATGAATATATTGTGACACATGAAAATTATATGACACTCAAATTTCAGTGTTCATAAATAAAATCTTACTGGAACATGCCACACTCACTCATTTACACATTACCTACATAATTGTGTTTCACACTACAAGGGCAGAGTTGAGTGTTTACAAAAGAGACCATTTGGACCTCAAGCCTCAAATATTTACCATGTGGCCCTTTAAAGAAAACGGTCACCAGGCCTGGGCTTAAGATGTCAAAATGATAGGTTCTTAGCTAGGAACAGAATGCTTCTCAAGAAGAAAAAAAAATGGTTTTTTGCCTCAAGCTAGATCACTAAATTAAGATGACTTTAAGATGAATGGGATAGGGAAGATTTCTTAAAGTGCAGCTAATCTTGGGGATATCTATAATTGGAGGGTAGAAGTATAATGAGGGGGAAGGGCAGTGAGAGAGGAAGGTAATCAGTGACTGACACAAGGAAATAATCTGAGGCAACACTGATTTCAATAATATTTCAGTCTCAGATGCCTACCTAGCAAACACAAAGAATGGATAATCAATCAATCAAACAAAAATTATATTACAGGGGCATAAATAAAGATGGAAAGTGACAGGAGAAAAAATACCATATTCAAATAGGAGTCTCTAGGATTAGAGAAGAGACAGAAGAACTTTGAATCAGAAAATGGTACTCCTCAAAAAAATGGGACAAAAACATAAATAGGCAATTGATAAATAGTAACATTAAGCAATGAAAGCATGAAGCTTAACCTCTAATAAACAGACATTAGTCAGATATAGTTATTTGCCTATCAAAGTGGAAAATTATTTTTTACAATAATGCCCACTTATTCATTCAACAAAAATGTTCTGAACACATACTATGTGCTCCACAGTGGATATACAGGGTAAATAAATTAGAAATGGTCTGCCATTCTGGAACCTGGTGGTCTAGTATGGGGAGACAAACATGAAATTATCATAAATATATAATTGCAATCATGATAAATATCATGAAAAGACTCACAGAGTGTCATGAAAGGGTAATATCCTTAAAAGCATTAGGAAAGCAATGGGAGATCTAATAGACTGGGTTGGTGGGGAGGGAGAGATCATCTATGCTGGGTACTAGCAAAGGTACAAAAGAAGAAGCACATTCCATACACACCTCATCTAAGTGTTAACTACAACAACTTCTATGGAGGACAACCTAACCACATAAAAATACAATTTTTTTAAAGATTTTATTTATTTATTTGACAGACAGAGATCACAAGTAGGCAGAGAGGCAAGCAGAGAGAGAGAGGAGGAAGCAGGCTCCACGCCGAGCAGCGAGCCCAATGCGGGACTCGATCCCAGCACCCTGAGATCATGACCTGAGCCGAAGGCAGAGGCTTAACCCACTGAGCCACCCAAGCGTCCCTAAAAATACAATTTTTTTGATGCAGTGATTGTTGCTCCAGAAACTTATCCTGTGAAGTAATGATTTTCATCACAAGGTTATTTTTAATCACACACACTAGAAACAGGCTTAATGCCTAATCAAGGTTACAAGTTAAATTACCATGCATCCTACTACCAATAAAAATCATGTTGCATTACAATACTTAATAACATGGGATGTTCACAACTTACAGTTAGGACTAAAAAAAAAAAAAAAAAAAAAAACAGGTCACAAACCTGGACCAGAATGATTCTAATTTTATTTAAAAGGAAAAAGAGGGCGGCTGGGTAGCTCAGATGGTTAAGCATCTGCCTTTGGCTCAGGTCATGATCCCAGGATCCTGGGATCGAGTCCCACATCGGGCTCCCTGCTCAGTAGGGAGCCTGCTTCTCCCTCTCCCTCTGCTCCCTGCTTGTGTTCTCTCACTCTCTGTCAAATAAATAAATAAATAAAAATCTTAAAAAAAAATAAAAATAAAAATAAATAAAAGGAAAAAGAAAGAAAGAAAGAGCTGCTTAGCATAATACTCTTTAGCTCCATCTATGTCATTGTAAATGGCAAGATTTCCTTCTTTTGTATGGTTG